GAAAGAGTGCCCCCAGCCTTCTGGAAACCAAAAGGATCAAAGAAAGAACTCAAAGAAAGTGAACTAGAGTGTTTGGGAAAGGGAACAAAAAAATTTTTTAAGTCACTGTGGAAAAGCTTAAGAAACCTCTCATTAGCCTGATATATAAGGACTAAAGTCTGTGCACGCACTCAGAAATTTCAACCCCTGATTTCACCTGACCTTTCCCCTCTATGTTAAATAAAATATTTTTGTTATTTTTTTAATTTAAAACGCCTGCGCTGAGCCAACAGGCAAAATATCAGTACTGTGACAGGGTGGGACAGCCAGAATTCTTTGGGAAAGGAGAAAACTGTACAGGGCACAGATGCTGACCAATCAGATTGCTTGGAACAGCCTGTCACTAGGGCCCCTCAGTCAGTAAAGGGAAAGAAAAAGGGAGGGAAAATCTTGCCTCGGAGGGAGGGAGGGAGGGAGGGAAGTGGTCTTGGGGCATGCCAGCTAAAATCTTACAAACGGCTTAATTCGGGAATAAGTCCTACTCTAGTCACCAGAACTTGCTTCCAAGTATGCACGCACAGGAATTGGGGCTGCCTGAGAACAATCCTCCGTGGTACGCACGCAGTACTCCTATTTTCGTTCGAGGGAGGTCTTAAGGAGATGTTGGGGGTTTCAGAGGTAGGCATCCTTCATTCGATTCCGCCCCTTGCTTTCGAAAGAAGGGAACCAATTTTTCTTCGCAGAGTGGGAAAGCGCACGCCTTTACTACTGGGGAACCGCAGGGCTGGGGAAAGGACCTCATGAGCGAGATGAAGGGACATGCAAAGACAGAGGCGCTTGCAGGATCCCTCCACGAAAAAGGCAAGAGGAGACTTGCAGGCAGTTATGGGGAAAGGAACCCGCCCCGCGGGCAATCCCGCAGCCCAAACCCGCGCAGAGTTTTGCGCGAGCTCTCTCCAGTAAATAGATTTGGGCACCGCATCTAGCGCTGCAACAGGATCTAAGCCGTGCATCACAAGGCTTTTGTTAATCCATGAGTCCCGACTGCATTGAATTGGGGGGTGGGGTTTTCCGACTAGATTCAAGGACTGAGAGGAGCCTGGCCCGAAAAGGGACCGTAGTTGGCGCCCCGGCTCTCCCCCCCTCCTCCCCTCTCGCTCGCGCGGGACTCACCAACTGCCGAGCCACATCGGAGGAAGCCATGACAGAAGGCGAGGGGGACCCCGCGCGCGGAGAGAGGGAGGATCGGCTCGAGCGCAGAACCTCCGACTCCAACCCCAACCGCTCGAATTTAACCGGCGACGCCGAGAGGCCGCGGCGGGCAAAGGGGCGGGACAGATTCTCAGCCTGCCGCCTTTCGATTGGAGGGGCTGGCGAGAGGGGAGGAGCGAGCGGGCTGCCAACGGGCGAGATCGCGGGGAGAAACGGGCGCCTTCCACGGGGAGGGGGCGTGGTCGCCAGAGGGTGCCTCCCCGGGAGTGAGACGGGAAGGGGGGGGGAGACTCTTTCGTGTCCTGTGGAGGGGCGAAGCTTCGTTCGTTTTACCAAGTTTAAAACTGTTTCTAGGCGCCGCCTCCTCGCCAGGGTTAGCTGTCACGTGGGGAGGGGAAGGCGGGGACGCGAGCCTGGAGTGTGAGGCTATAATGACGGCTGGGCGGGAGGAGGCGAGAGACGCAGCAGGCGCCGTGATTTGCGGCGGGTGATGCCGCCGGGAGCGCTCCCTTAGGCGGCTTAGCTGCCGTTGAGGCGGCCGAGAGAGCGCGCAGCGATGCCGTGTCCGAGGAAGCGAAGGATCCCCTGCCAGTGAAGGCCCTCGGGGGGGAGAGGAAGAGGAGGATTAGGAGGGGGCGGAGGAGGAGGAGGAGGAGGCGACGGGCATGGCCGCGCCGCCGGAGCTCCAGCAGGACGCGGTGCTGCGCTTCCTGGCCGAGCGCGGCGGGCGAGCTCGCAACGCGGACCTGTTGGACCACTTCCGCGGCTTCCTCAACTCGCCGGACCCGCAGCGCCGCGCCCGAGCCCGCGAGCGCTTCAAGGAGATGGTCAACGCCGTGGCCATCGTCAAGCAGGAGCCCGGCTCCGGGGCCAAGTACGTGCAGCTGCGCAAGAAATACCGGGGCGGCGCCGCCGGACCCAAGCCGGAGGAGGAGGAGGAGGAGGCGGCGGCCTCGGCGCTGGCCAACGGCGCTGTCGTGACGGCGGCGGACCCCGAGCCGGCCACCGAGGAGCCGCGCCTCTCGCCCGAAAGGAATTGCGGCGGCAGGGATGCTGCTGCTGCCGCCGCTGAGGCGGGCCAGGAGGGGGAAAGGGCCGCCGCCGCAGACGGTCCCACACAAAGGGAGCCCGAGGCGCTCCCTTCCCCCGGCGCGGAGGCCCCGCAGCTGTGGCTCTCGGGAGGTGGAGGCGAGGAGCTGCGGCGCTCTCCCCAACAGCAGCAGCCGCCGCCGGGGCGTCGGGAGGAAGGTGAGGAAGAGGAGGCCCCGCCTGAGGACTCGTCACCGCGCCTGGCCGCGCCGCCTCCCTTCGGCGCCCTGCCCGCAGCCGCCGCCGCCACGCCGCGGTGCGGGCGCAAGAACTTCCGAGAGCGCATGATGGGCGCCTCGCCTCAGCTGAAGCGCGGCGGCGGCGGGGGGCTCCCGCGCGTGGGGGGCGGCCGGGAGCGGGACTCGGACAGCGCCTCGCTGGCGTCCTCGTCGGCCGAGGAGGAGAGCAACAGCAGCGGCGGCGGCTCGACGAGCGGCTCGGTGGCGCTGGACCCGCTGGAGCACGCGTGGATGCTGTGCGCCTCGGACGGCCGCTGGGAGAGCCTGGAGGGGCTGCTGAGCTGCGAGCCGGCGCTGCTCGCCAAGCGGGACTTCATCACGGGCTTCACTTGCCTGCACTGGGCGGCCAAGCACGGGCGCCACGAGCTCCTGGCCCTGCTGGTCAACTTCGCCCACCGGCACCGCCTGCCCGTCAACATCAACGCGCGCACCAGCGGCGGCTACACAGCCCTGCACCTGGCCGCAATGCACGGGCACCTGGAGGTGGTCAAGCTGCTGGTGGGCGCCTACGACGCCGACGTGGAGGTGCGCGACTACAGCGGCCGCAAGGCCTCGCACTACCTGGCCCGCGGCACGGCCGACCAGGTGCGCGGCCTGGTGGGCGCCCTGCAGGACGACGAGGAGGACGGCGGGACGGCCAACGGCGGCGGCCGCTGGAGGCTCTCCAAGGTGCTCCCGGCCAACCTCATCACCTACAAGCTCTCCGCCCACCTCCACCACGGCGAGGACGGGGAGCCGGGCGACGGGAGCGCCGGGCAGGGGGGCAAGGGCAAGGACCTCAGCCGGAAGAGCTCCGCCGGCAGCTGCAGGACCAAGCCCCGGCTCAACAAGATCCGCTTCCGCACCCAGATCATCCACACCACCCCTTCCTTCCGGGGGGATCCGGAGGAGGAGGACGGCGGCCCCGAGGAGAAGCCCTTGAAATCCTCCTTCAAACTGAGACCCAAATCCAATGTCTTTGGGTAAACCGGTTCTTATTTGTGAGCACCTGACAATGGGAGGGTGCACGGCTACCTCGAAGACTGCTTCTTTTGCCTTGGTAGGGCTGTTTGAGGATAGTCTCCCCATGCAATGCCTCCGGGTGCTAGACAGGTACAGGGCTAAATAGGACAAATATTCTGAGGCTAATGTTTACTAAGGTACAGTGGCGGCTGGAGTGGGAGTTCCAATGGGTCACTTTAAAATGTGGGTGTTTAGGGTGCGAGTAGTTCTGCTTGTTTGAGTTCTATGTTTAACATGTGTGGTTAACCTTAGGTAGGTTGGTACCGGACAAAGAGCTGCTGTTTGTGGAGGTTGCACATCTCACTGTGGTTGTAATGTGTCTTGTGTTGCATCATATCAGAATCTTGGTGAGAGGTAATATTGAATTCTTCTCCACTTTTTAAAAAATGCCCCCTTTATTGACATTTTTGACCCCAATATTTGGGAGAAGATGTTCATTTTCTGTGGGCGGCACTGTTGTTTGCATGGAGAACCATTCAGTTTCGTTAACCCCTTCGTGTGTCTGGTATGCAGCCAGTATACCAGTTGTCACTTCTACCGAGAACTAGGTCTAAAAAGGCAAAACTATGCATTCACAGCAAATGTGTGGTCTCGATCCTGTGATGCTGAGGGGTGAATGCAGGATGTTTGGCAGACGCCACAAAACTTTGGGAAGCCATGGTCTAGTTCCTTTAGTTGTATAATTTAGCTAAAAATGATGGGAGTGGTGATTCCCAGTATGGCTCATTCCTTCATTCTACGCTGCTTTAGCCCTGATAGGGGGAAACTAGCACTAGAGATACCTGTGTGTGTTTTTTAACCCTTCCTCAACACTGGGGCGAAAAGCAGTGTAGAGAGATGATGTGGGACACAGGTGATATATCTCCCACCCCCTCCAACCATGGCTTGGCTGCTTCTGCAACTAAATTACAGCTCTGAGTGCTGTTTCTCCCTTGCAGAGGAGGCTTGGCAGACAGAGAAGGGGAGCCTGCATGCCTGTAAAACCTTCCCTGCACCTGCCGGTTCTCCCCTGCGGGTCCCCCACTTGAGGTTTTCTTTAGCTTAACTGGGGAGAAAAAAAAACTTAACCTGCATGGGAGAAAGGGCACTTTACCTGGATAGTCATGGATAGGTGGGAAATGTGAAACATCCCCTTCCTGTGTGTGTATTGTCCTCCACAAATGTCAGTTTTTCACTGTTAGTATTATGAGGCATGGTAGCAGGATACCATTATTTTCCTGGTAATGTCTAATTTTACCCCAAGGTATGTTCTACTGAATGTACACGTAAGAAGAATTTTTTAAAAACAGCAATATGATATACAGGGCAGGCTGAGTGTATGACTAAGCCATTAGGAATCAGCTTTGGTGGAATACTGATTGCACCCTAAAGCTATTCAGAAGGTACATTTGCTTTTCCCTTATCCAACTAGATTTTGATTCTTGCATTCTTTACCTGTTGAGCATAATCCCTTGGGAGTAGAAGTACGAAATGTACGAATTTAAGCATAAATATTATGCTGGAAACAGATCAACTGTTCAGTTAAGGTGGAACTGAAATCATTTTGAGTTGTGAGAATGATATGAATTAAATGGATTTCTTTCAGTGAGTAGTTGGCATTATAGCAGTGCTAATGTGTGTGCAGAAGGACTTCCCTTTTGTCAGTTATGAGAAAGAAAGGTTCTTGCTTGGCAGTGAGTTGCCTTGGCAAAGAAGTCCTTGAGTCTTAGGTGGTAATTACTACTAGTAAGACTGCATAAAAGAAACCCCCTTCCATTTTGAGTTTGAGTTCAGCAGCTATAAACACCTACCATTTGGGCTTGTCTTGAAGACTGATGCTAGCCCATTTAACCATTTATTTGTTCACTACAGTTCTCCCTGCACTGAAAGTCATTCAGCCCTGGAAAGAATCTCGGGCTAGAAGGTGTGAGCAGGACTGATTTATAGAAATAGCATGAAATATTCTTTGTGGTATTCTCATTAAATGCTTCTTCTAGCACCTTGAAAAACACTTGTGCTCACCTGGAGAGCTGCAGGAAGAATCCTGATGCAGAGCATTGCACCTGTAGACACATTGTGCCCCGTTTACAGTTTGCACACTTAAACTGGGGATGAGAAACTGTTTTTCTGAGTGCTTGAGTGTAGTTATTAGCTACAGTGTGTTTCCCCCACTGCAGGCTTGTGTGTGTACATGTGGTTACATACAACAGTCGGCATGTGGAAATCTGAAAGCACATATCTGGTGAAGTTTGTTACAGAATGTTTTAGAAGTTGTCTTTAACTTGAGTCAAACTTAGTGAGTGAAAGTCACTAAACAGATTTATTTTCTTTAATTAGTAAATCTTCAGAATAAACTTTTGTTAGAAAAGTATTAGCAAATGTTGTTTCTCACGTGAAACTTAAGATATGAAAAGATATTCCCACTATTCCAAAGTCAGCAATTTCTGCAAAAACCCAAATGACAGACGTGTTTTATTAGCACTTTCTCTTCAAGAATAAGGATATTGGGGCTGGTCCTCAGATGCTGCTGATGTCAATATGAGTGCAAATTCAAGACTTGCTAAAGCTCACTTCTCAATTAGCTTGTCAGATACTTTGGAGTTGGTGGTTTTATACTGATTTGAGAGTATCTGGGAAGGTGTTCCAAGACCATGGATATAAAGAGCTCTGCTTCTGAAAGCAGATGTAGCTGTTAGGCTCTGTCAACACTGAAGCAGATTATGCAAGCCCCCTTACCATGTCACTGCAAATGCTTTTCAGATTTTATCCTGAAAAAATAATGTGCAGGCTATATGCGTTTGAGTGTTTTCTTCTCATGCCTTTGTTTTGGGATACTACGGAAGAGGCATGGTAACAAGGTGTGTACAATTTCTGCTGCCATTTTTTATATCTGAAGTAATGTCTGAAGTTGTCTAAGTAAGCAGGGCCATAATTGCTGCTTAACTGCCAGTTAGATTACTACCATGCATTTGCCAAGCAATGCACAGGGTGCTGATTTACTCCTTTTTTGTGTTGATAGCTTTATATTTTTATATGGCTTACTAGTGGAATGATGGAAATTCTCATCCCAAGCCATGGCAATTGGAGTCTGCAAGTTTGTCTGCATTAAGGTGAAACTGCTCACATATGCACACAAACCAGTACAGTCTAAAATCCTTGCTTGAAAAAAATGAATCATAGAGAACTGAATTATACAATCTGCCACACTACATAAGTGCTTTTTAATGCATACAAGATAGAGCAAATGTAAAGGCATTCTTTTAATTTATAAGCTAAAATGACACGTGCCTTTTTTAAATTGTGAAAAATGCATTTTGAGTGCTTCTCACATTTCGGCATGATGGAGGCCAGTGGCAGCTCCATCTTTCTGACATGTAACTTATTGTAGCAGCATAAATGTTCCAAAGTGTTGGTCTGCACTATAGCTCTAGATGTTTAATCTTGTAGCAGAGAACATAGTTAGACCTTTCTGCAGTGCAGAACAGTGTCAAGAGTAGAATATCTTTACTACAGATTTCTTTAAAATAGCCTGAATATTGCTAACTACAGCTTTCCTATGTGACCTCCAAGAGGGACATATCTTAAACCATTCTATTTTTAAATGTCGACTATCCATATGTGTAAACTATTGAAATGATTGACTCCCGGTTGTATTTTTGTAAGTATTGTCTATTGACATGTTGATCTATGTCTAAAAGCTTGTATATGCTGTTAGTCACAGTCTGATCATCATAGAGAAATACTTCGTGCTTTAGATTCTTCGAAAGGATGACTTTGTTTTACTGTAGCAGTTTGAGCAACTTTTGTTCACTGAAGGGCTCTGTGATAAACTAGTGATGCCAAAATATGGTCATTATCATGATGTAATGCTTCATCATAGTATACTCAAAGTACAAAAGCATGTTAATAAAATCAGTAGTAAATATAAGACCCTGATTCTAAACACTTGCAAATACACCCTCAGTGCCCTGGTTTTGTTTCTCTGTACAATGTGCTGCTTCTCCCAGATCTAGCTGTGTGGGGGGTTTGTCATTCTGAGGTACTGATGATTTATTGGAGATGTACACTTGTACACTACACATGTAGACCCATTCTTAGTAGTATGTTCCACAGAAGCCAGTCAATTGCACAATCTGATGATGTGGGAAAAACTTGTAATGTTATTAATTCAGTCCATTCTGTGTACTTAAGTTATGCATGAGGTACTTCCCCAAACAAGAATCCTTTTGTTTACCTACTGAGTTCACATTCTTTATATGTTCTGCATTTTGTCTCTTGTGTGTTGTTTCTCACAACAAAAGTGCTTTTTAAAAAGGAAACAATTTTGTACTGGAACTTCTGATTTAACTGGTGCATCAAAACTATTAATGTGCATAATGTGTAGAACATGTATGGTACAACACTGGAGCACTTCTATCTCACCTTACTAGAGAAGGTATTGATTTTGCTCTTCCTTACTGAAGAGATACAAAATGAGATCGAGTGTAATCCTATGCACACTTTAAAATGTCCAGTTGAAGTACTAGGGATTTATTTCTCAGTAAGCGCACATAGGATCAAACTGTAATTTTTTGTTAACCTTATACTGAATGCTTAGGGATATAGCAGTGTTTCAGACTATTGTCAAAGACAGTTTTTTAATACATGCCTGGATGGATAAGTGACTGCTAAACATTTTACTGAAATAAAATGTCATCGTTTTCTTTTTATCTGGCTATGTTTTTCTTGGTGTTCTTGTGGCTATTGTTTTTATACTCATGACTTGTACACTTCTACTCCTTAAGTTGGTTTAAAGGGAGACATTGATTTCGCTGTGTTCCTTATAAAAAGGTTTGTTAGGCAACTAATCCTTGACAATATCTTCAGTAGGGCAACCTTGCATACGTCTAGATATCGTTAAAGGGCACATAAATGATCACAAAGTTTCTTACAGTGTGATCCAAAACAGAGTTATACCCTTCTAAGTCAATTGATGTCATGGGCTTAGAAAGGTGTTATCTCTGTTTAGGACTGCACTTTTAGTCTGAATATTATTCGCATTTTGAGATTTAACAGTTATTAATATAAGACACATACTTTCTGTATCAGAAGAATGCCGACCTGTTCGATGCTCCCTCTAAGCTGTGGAGACTTGTGAGCAAAAATTCTACTTTGTGAGCTACTGGCAATAAAAGTTCTGAGCAGTGTTCCCTCTAAGCTGAGTTAGTGTGAGCTAGCTCACAGGTTTTTAGCCTCTAACTCACACATTTTTGTCTTAGGTCAGGAAGGATGACTCCAAAGCAAACTAATTTATGCAGTAGCCAAATCATTTGCTCGCAACTTTAATGCCAGTAGCTCACAAAGTAGAATTTTTGCTCACAAGACTCCACAGCTTTGAGGGAGTATTGGTTGTGAGTGAGCAATCTGGCTACTGGATAAATTAGTTTGCACTGGAACCATCCTTCCTGAGCTAAGATAAAAATGTGTGAGCCTGAAGCTAAAAAACTGTGAGCTAGCTCACACTAACTCATCTTAGAGGGAACACTGCTGCTAGAACACTGGGACACACATGAAGCTG